AGAACTACCCCATTATCATACCAATTGGTGATAATCCCTGTCTGATCATTTTTATCACTTAGACCCAGGCAACAGATGCTTTCTTTTGAATCTCTACCAAGAAGGACTTGAATTGGTTAATTATCCTGGAAGTGGTTCAGTTTAAAAGGGTTTAAAATAGTTTTGCTGGGCCGGCCTGTAACTTAGCGGTTAAGTGCGTGCGCTCCGCTGCTAGCGGCCTGGGTTCGGACCCCGGGCGCGCACCGACGCACCGCTTCTCCGGCCATGCTGAGGCCGCGTCGCACATACAGCAACTAGAAGGATGTGCAACTATGACATATAACTATCTACTGGGGCTTTGGGGAAAAAAAAAGGAGGAGGATTGGCAATAGATGTTAGCTCAGAGCCGGTCTTCCTCAGCAAAAAGAGGAGGATTAGCGTGGATGTTAGCTCAGGGCTGATCTTCCTCTCACAAACACAAAATAAATAAATAAAATAGTTTTGCTGTTCTTATTAGCAAGGATGAAAGTTGCTCATTTTGTTTCTAGTTTTACTCCCTTTTATGTGAATTATCCTAACCTTTTACAATGAGTAAATTTAAATGGGTAATTCTAAAATATGACATTAAAAAATTAATGTTTACAAAAACAAAAGAACAAAAAAATTAATGTGTTCATTGAGGAAGATTTAAAATACAGATAAGCAAAAAGTATTCCTATATTTATGCATATATATGTGTGTGTATACACATACATGGATTTTTTAAAAACGGAAATGGTACATTCGTAGGCAATTTTTAAATTGTGAGTGACTGAACTTTACCACTCAAACTAGCTTAGGCAAGAAAGGAATATTTATTGACTCATAAAACAAACCTAAAGATAAGTCAGAGTTATTTCTGGCCTCAGTGACCTGAGACTGAAATCCTCTCAGGACTGCCTCCCCACTTCTGCCTCTGCTTCCCTCTCTCTACGTTCCTCTCATTCTCTTAGGCTGTAGTTCGGCTGGCCGGAAATATGGCTGCCAATAGCCCACAGCCTCACATCTTCCCATCTCCACCTCCAGGGAGGAGAGGTCTTTTTTCTTTCGTTCCAGCTTAAGAAGTCTCAGGGAAGGTCTCTGACAGGCTCAGCTTGAATTTCCTGTGCACTCCCTGGCACATTGTCATGGGCAAAGTGGTGCAGTTCTATGATTGGCTCAGTTTGGGTCAAGTGCCCACCTGTAAACCAAAACCTGTGACAGAGGGAGGGTCCTCTAAGAAGATGGCAGCTCCCATCTGAAACATGGGGTCCTGTTTTCTGAAAGTTCAGAAAGTTAAGGAAACATATTTTTCCATGTTCTACACCATAATTTCAAGGATAATGGCATTTAATGGCAGAACAATATTCTATTCTGGAATGCAGACATGATGACTGGAAGTGACCAAGAGGACAAGAGCCACACACTAAAACTGGTAGAGCAGAAGGACAGAGGGCGTCCGAGTCCTTGACGGTATCCCAGAGTTGCTGTAACAGCCCTACTTCTACACTTCTTGATATATGAGAAAAATACTTCCTGATTTGGCTAAACCACAGTGGTCAGATGTACACACAGCCAAGTGCAGTTCTTTATAGATACATTTCCAGGCAGACTTCCTCCATTAAAAGTAGGCCAGGAAATTTGTCATCAATGAGAAGAAAGGGAGGTGAGGATAAGACCCCCAGAGAGGTTGAAAAAGGGAGCTGAAATAAAGGAAATTGCAACCTATTTATTTTTTGAACTGTTAAAGGAAACTGACCCGTAGAGCATCCCTGAGTCAACATGAGGTGATTATGGCAGGGTAGAAATGACAGCCATAGAGGAATTGAGCAGAAAGAGGGTCAGAGGTAGTAACCAAGACTTCTTTGATGCCCTGTAGCATGAAGTGTTCCAGAAGTCCCTAAGGGCTCCCAGCAAGGGTAATGGGAGTAGCTCAAGTTGAGAGCTAGGGAGCCTCCCTGTGGCCAACGTTTCTGAGTAGCAGCCTAAGCAGGCACAGAGAGAACAGGCTTGACTGGGTCAGTAGGGGATGCAGCCAGTGCAGAGGCCTATGCAGAGATCTGATGAGGTGAGCTGCATTCAAGTGGAGTGAGCAGGAGCCAGTAGAGATGGTCAGCTGGAGAACCAGTGTCCCTTCCCCTTGCACTGAGATAACATCTCGGGAAAGAGTAAGCAGAGGGGAGACCTTTGGAGGAGAGAGACAGCTCTCATAGGGAGTTGGAACTCTAAATTGACTAAGAGTTACTCAAAACTAGGCTCTTTTAAACCCAGAAGACACAGTTATTTTTAGCCAGTAAGCTGAAGAAATGCCCAGTAATGAGAATCTCCTTAGGAATCTTAGTTCAATTATAGAGACATTTTAAAAAATTTATACATCTGGGTCATAGTGTGTACAATTGTGACTGTGCCTCCTGGGTCCCCATGCATATAGATCTCTATCATAAGTTTCTTTAAAGAGGTTTCCCCGGAGTTTGACAGAGTATGTCAGAAGGAAAATGTCCTAAAATCGGCTTTAGACATATGGTAGCCAGCCCCCAAAGTGATCCACAATGATTCTTGCCTCCTAGTATTCATTACCTTGTGTAGTCCCCTCCCACACTGTACCAGGGTTGGTCTGTGTGACCAAGAGCATATGGCAGAAGGGATGGAAGGGGGTAGAGAAGTATATGGTATATCTTGGTATATCACTTCCAGGATTAGTTTAGTTTCTGCTTCTTTCACTCTTAGATCACTCACTTTGGGGAAACTAGCTGCCACGTTGTGAGGAGAGGCCTACATGTGAGGCAATAGCCATATGAGTGAGCTTGGAAGCAGATCCTCTAGCCCCAGTCAAGCCTTCAGATAATTGCAGCCCCAACCAATATCCAGACTGCAACCTCATGAAAGACCCTCAGTTAGAGACCTTCAGTTAAGCTGTTCCAGATTCCTGACATACAGAACTTATAAGATAATAAATGTTTGTTGTTTTAAACCACTAAGTTTGGATGCAATTTGTTGTGCAGCAATAGATAACTAACATATTCCCTCTCTTAACAATTTCAATTACAGCGCCTGCCAAAAATCTTTCTCTCTTTTCCTCCTCCATGAAGTTCTTTCATAGTTTCCCTCCACTCCTCCTCTTCCTCCTCTCTGCCACACTCTTAAGCACCCAACTCCCAAAAGGTCATGGTCCTGTCTCCAAGTGGCCACCTAGGGTGTAGAGTCTTGTTTCCTTCACTGACTTCTCTTGTTATGAAACCAAGCTTCTCCTCCCCGCTCTTTTCCCCACACAACTGATAATGGTGAATAAAATGCTGAGAGAACAAGGCAGGGGCAGAAGGAACTGAAGACAGAGACAGAAAGAGGGGCAGGGGATAGCCATCAGCCAGATTCTGTGACACTTCATTCATCTTCCCTCCGTACTTCCTGCTGATTCATTGAAGAGACACAGAATCTCCCTAATGGCAGAATACCATAAAGACTTCTGAGGGGCCTGGAGGTGTCTTGATTCTCCAGGTCCTGAACTGTGTTCCAGTCGCATGAGGCCTAGCACTCGCTAGGTTTCCTGGGTGTTCCGTGCTGTTCCCATGAGATTCCCATTTTCCTCATTACCATATAACTAAGATACATCTGCTAAGCAAAACCAGACATTTGTCTATAGTGGACAGAATTCCTCAAAATGCTGTTGTGGTTATCTTGCAGATGATTACAATTATGTAGCAAAATAACTGAGCTATAAGCTACATGAGAAAAAGAAGAAAAGACAAAATATTACTTGGTATTTTAGTATCTTTATGGTTTATCTCCCTGTTGGACTGTGAACTTCATGAAATCAAGGGTCATGTGTGATCCCGTGGGTAAGCACAGTGTTCAGAATGGTCTTGATATAGAACATCGCCAGCAAATATTTGTTGGAAGATGCACTATACATGTTTGTTGAAGGAATGGTTGAATTAGCATCAACGGGGTCTTCCACAATAGCCCATTGGCTGGTAATTCTAAGCATTTTACAGTCCATCACAAAACGTTCTTTTCTTTTTTTAATTGCACTGAATCAACAAAGAGGGTAGCGTTTTCTTCATTGTAAGGAAAGGCTTCTATTATTTTTTAGGTAAAGGCCCGCCCACAAGGGAACACTGGTTCTCACATAAAACCCAGGAGCCTCCACAGTTTGGAACCCAATACACACTTCCTAGAATACTCTGGCTATTAACAGTGTATTAACCAATGGAAAGGAGATATGCCTGGGAATTGTGATGCCAACGGAAGGAAGCAGAACATCTGTTTTCCACTAACGGCTTCTGCTTGGAGTTTCTTAAGCCCAGTCTGAGTTGGCCTGGAATCCGGCCAGCGGCAGACACCATTCCAGGCTCTGGCCGCCCCGGGCTGGGGCAGGGGACCGGGCAGAGGAGGACGCGCAGCAAGGTCCGAGCAATGAGCTGTTTGGCGCCTTGGAAGGGCGAGGTGACAGAGCGCGGGAGACGCCGCCGTTCGTACTGCGGTAGTTGGGTGAGGCCAGGAGGTTCGCACCTGCAGATCCCTCTCTGGGTGTACAGCCTTTGGATCCCCCTGTCAGCTCCGGAGAGGCGATTCTCGCAGTCAGGTAGATTAGGAATCGGGTTTAGCACTTGTCACCGCTCGAAACTGGGCATCCCGGCACTGAGTCCTTTGAGGAAGTCTTGCTCGGGACTACATTTCCCAGAAGGCTCCGCGACGATTGAAAGCCCAATCAGCCTATGGACGGGGAAGGCTTCTCGCCATGGAAACCGAGAAGCCAATGGCGAGAGGACAGGGGCGGTGTTTTCCGGCGGCTGGCTGTCGAAATCAGAGTCCCACGTGTGTCCCCACAGTCCTGTCACGAATCACAGGCTGGTTCTGGGAGGGACCGTCTTGGCGTTGTGGGCCAGGTGCGGCTCGGCGGTGGAGGACTCTCACTTCCTGCTCCATCCCCGGCTGGGCCCTGGGGCGGTGAGTGATCCGGTAAAGGAGACAGCGGCGGCCGCCCGGACACTGCTGAGGGGCGTGGAAAGGCTCGCCCGCCGCCCCGACGTCGTCTCTGCCGGGTACCCGCGCTCGCCTTGCGGAGCCCGCGGGTCTTGCTGAGGAGTGGGGAGAGGTAGCTGCGGTTTTCTGCGCCACCGTCGGGATAGCTCATCCTCCTAATCCATTTTCTTGCTCCTCGTGGAGGTCCCCGGGTGTCGGCTTAGCTTTGTGACCCTCTGACCGGCCGCTTCCTGACTGGGGCCTGCGGCACCACGAGGGAGGAGATGGGTGTCGGCCCTGCCCCCGCCGTGATGTTCCTATTAATAAACACAGTGAGCGGACTGGTGCTTCTCACAATGGCACTTACTCACAGCACCTCGGCGCTCCAGGGCCTTTGAGGTCACCTGTACAGGGGACAGGAGACTGGGCGGGGAACAGGGTTTCTGTAACAGTGGCTGAGAACTCTCTCCTCCATCCCGCCGTCACCTGCAGGTGGGCCCTGCTGTCGTGTTTTGTAATGGATGTAGAAATAAAATTTATGCTCAAAACTCGTTACAATGTTCACTTCCTAATGACATTATTTTTTGTTTGTTAAGGTTTTAAAGCAGAGAGATGAAATGTATTCCTCGGGTTTTTAGGTCCTCAAAATCTCACTACTTTATAAGTGAGCCAGAGCAATGTCTGTCTATAGATGCATAAATGTTTCCACGAAAAGTGATTGTGTGTGTATTCTAGTAGTACCAGGTGCTTTGATTGGTGAGATGAAAGATGTGAAAGAGTAAAACTTCCTCACCTCAATCTGGTGCATCCTCCACTGAAATGCAGAATTCTTTGTAGCAGGTTCAGGTGGCTTACATGCATTTGTTTCTACTGGAAACTCTTTTGGGGTGGGGGGGTGGGGGCGTGTTATCTTATATTTCTTTGTGACTCCTAATGCCTTACAACATATTACTGACTGAATAAATTACTGATCCATCCAGTAATCTGACCATCTCCCTCAAAATAATTTTTTCGTGATACTGCTGTCAATTTTATTAATGTGTTAATGATTGTTTCAGCCCTCAAGGGTTTTGTTTTGTTCTTATCCCCATTGAATTTCACTTAATTTTACAGCTTATCCATGTCTTTTTTTTTTAAATCTATATCTTTTTAAGTCTCATATCTAACTCTATTAAACCTTGAAATAGAACGGTACCCAGGACAGTTCCCTTTGGGGTTCTGCATAGTCTGTCCCTTGAGATTGACACCAAATCTACAAGCTGGGAAAAGTCAGCTGTTCTCATAACTATTATGAGTATAATTAAGTCCACGATTTCCTAGCTTACTGAACAAAATGTAGTTGGAGAGAATCCAAAGCTTTCTAGAAATCAAGTTATACCTGCACACACTCTCCTTTATTTATCTTGTGCATCATGGACAATTTGTCCCTCAAAAAGTTAACGTGTCCAAAGACTGAGAGTTCTGTACATGTGTTTGGGAGGTCCAGGCCTCACTTAGTGATGGGAAACTTGGCCAAGGGAAGGATTATGTAAAAACAATAAGAAAAGCAACCCTTCTATGGGTGACAGAATTTACCTCAGAGCTATTCTAGTCAGGGGGTTTTGTTTGGATATACTGGTGGCCATGGTGGCCGTCTTTTGGTTTTCAGACAATGGTGAGAATATGCAGAGAGCTACTGATGCATGCTGAGGTCTCTTTCTTTAGGAACTGATGACTCTCAATGATGTGGCTGGGGACTTCAGGGAAGAGTGGGTTACCTGGACACTGCTTAGAGAATCCTCTTCAGGGATACCACCCAGCTCACTTAGAAGAATGGGGTCTCAAAGGGTAAGGATGCTACTCTCCTTTAGATTTAGGACTTAGATATCTTGAGAGGGCTCAGGTCTGAGTGGTCTCTGGGGATATTGGTCTCTTAGAGCTCTAGCTCTCTGTGAGAGTAATTGTTGCCTCCCTGGCAGAAAAAGAATGACATCCTTTTTTATGGCACTTTATGGTTTGTAGATGTCTTTGATATTTATTGTCTTGTTAATATCTCACCATCACCTTTTGATGTATGTATTATTATGCCCCTTTTCCAACTCAGGACACTGAGACTCAAAGTTAAGTGGCAGAGGAAGAGTCCAGCCCAGATCTTGTGGAAAAGGAGGTGCTCTCCCTATGGTGTTTTTTCCTTTCACTTAAAAAAACACAAACCTCCAGTGCTCTTTCTAAAATACCATGGTTACCCCTTCTCCCTGCTTTACTTTGTATCTGCTACACGAGTAGAATATACCCGTTGAAGAAAAAGACAAGCAAAATGAAAATAAAAGTCATCCATCCCACCACTGAAGAGTTACTATCCTTCCAGCCTTTTTTCTAAGCATATATATAATTAGAAAAACAAAACGGAAGAAAACAATTGAGATCATACTGTGCGTTCAGTTGTACATCCTACTTTCTTACACATTATATTGTGAATATATTTCTACAACAATAAATACTATATCTTTCTCTATATCACTTAAAATAACCACTTTATTTTGTTGTATGGGATACAATTATTTACATTAGATTGGATCATATATTTGACCATTTTTTACCTATAAAATCACAATTTCATATGGCTCAATCAAATATAATTATTCCTTTGTCGTGGGACCTTTAGGTTGTTTCCAAATATTCACCAGTATTGTGATGAACAGCTCTTTGTCTTTTTTAAAAAAGCTAATTGTCTTTTTAAAAACTCTTATTTATTGAAATATATTTAGTTAATAATTAGCTAATATGTCTTTTGCAAAACTTTTTTTTCATTTCCTTGGAATTCCCAGAATTAGAATTGCTGGGTCAAAGAAGAGATACATTTCTAAGATATTTGATACTTTTGCCAAATGCCTTCCAAAAAGATTGAATCAATTTATATATTCCGGTAAGCCTTATACGAAAGCGTCCATTTCTTCATATTCAACATGTCAGAGTGGGTATTATAATTTAAGAGTCTGGGTAAAATAACAGTGATAGCTACATTTATTGAGGACTTACCACTTAATCCTCACAACAACTCTATGAGGTAGGTCTTATTGTTATCCCTATTTTATAGAATGAAGACACTGAGACAGAGAGTTTAAGTAACTTTCCTGAAGTCACACAGCCAGTAAGAGGCAAGGTTAGGATTCAAACTCAGGCACTAGGACTCTTGGGTTTGCACTCTTTATCTGTACACTATATTACCTAAGTGTGTCATTGTTTGAATTTCTTTGGTTAATGGTGAGGTTAAAGGTTTTTCATATATCTATAGGCTGCCTGTATTTTTTTCTTTTGTGAATTGCCTATTCATGTCCTTTGACCATTTTTTTTCCTTACAAGTGTTTGTCTTTTTCTCACGGTTGTATTGACTGCTGCCCTTCTGGGAAAATTTTAAAGCCCAGAGAAAATTTTAAAATTTTAAATTTTAACTTCCTTGATTCTCTCTAAGGATGAGGTCATGGCAGCTTTGTTTCTGATAAAATCCGCTCTCCACATGAGTTTAGCCCGGTGCCTTCAGAGATGAGTTATTGTGCTTACTTTCGAGTTTCTGTCACCTAAGTCTGATTTTTTTTTTATGGGAAGAAAAGGGCTTTTTTCTCAGATAAAAGAGGGAGATCACCCTCTTTTATCACTTCACCATGGCTGCCCTTTTTTCCTTCACTAATGTCTTGTGTTTGCCTCCTAATAAATTGAGAAAACTCACAAAATGGATTATTGATGGAATGGCTGCCCTTTTAATGAGACCAAACACACACTAGAGTTTCCCTGGGTATTCTCTTCTACCCAGGGAAGGAGAAAGGCTTGGATTTTGGCCAGGGCTTGTGTGATTGAGTCAGATTAACATCCTATGTTCACCCTCCTGTATAGGATTTCTAGACCAAGTGTACTCTCCCAGCTGGAACAGAAAGAAGAGCCATGGGTGCTGCCACGCCAGAATTTTGAGGCGAGGAAGATCCTACGGGAAAGTCACACAGGTGAGGTGTGAGTGTTACCTAATGGGAGGAAACGTAGCATTTCATTCCTTGTTTGATGAAAATTTGGAATGTTGCCCCAGACTTTTTTTTTTTTTTTTTTTAGGAAGATTAGCCCTGAGCTAACATCTCATGCTAATCCTCCTCTTTTTGCTGAGGAAGACCGGCTCTGAGGTAACATCTATTGCCAATCCTCCTCCTTTTTCTCTTCCCCAAAGCCCCAGTAGATAGTTGTATGTCATAGTTGCACATCCTTCTAGTTGCTGTATGTGGGACGTGGCCTCAGCATGGCCGGAGAAGCGGTGCCTCGGTGCGCACCTAGGATCCGAATCCGGTCCGCCAGCAGCGGAGCGCACGCACTTAACCACTAAGGCACAGGGCCGGCCCAGACTTCTGTTCTTACTATTATAAGTTTAAATTTGACTTCTTGGGCAGTCAGTAATTGACTAAATAAAGTCTTCATTTTAAGTAAGCATTTCACTTTCATATAGACTATAACATCTTTTTTTTGTCCCCCCGCCAACGCCAAACCCCAGTACATAGCTGTATATCCTAGTTTTAAGTCCTTCTAGCTCTTCTATGTGTGCTGCTGCCACAGCATGGCTACTGACGAGTGGTGTGATTCCTGTGCCTGGGAACTGAACCTGGGCCGCCGAAGCAGAGTACACTGACCTTCAACCGCTAGGCTGGCTCAGAGACTATAATATCTTTGAAAAGTGTTGCCCACTTTGGACAATATGTGGTATACTCTTGAAGGATAATAAGGTCACCTCAAGATTCATCTAGCCATCTTAAAATAAAACGGGGTTAGGAATTCATGTTTTCTGTAAGCTCAATGAACTTCAATAAGTTTTTCACAAAGTGACAACCAAAGTAGTCAAATTAAATGTAGTCTGTTGCAAAAACACTAATTTTAGGGGGCCGGCCCGGTAGTGTAGCAGTTAAAGTTCGTGCATTCTGCTTCAGTGGCCTGGGGTTTGCTGGTTCGGATCCTGGGCGTGGACCTACACACCACTCATCAAGCCATGCTGAAGCGGTGTCCCACATAGAAGAACCTACAACTAGGACATACAGCTATGTACTGGGGCTTTGGGGAGAAAAAAGAAAAAAAAAAGGAAGATTGGCAACAGATGTTAGCTCAGGGCCAATCTTCCTCACAAAAAAAACAAAACAAAAAAAGACACTAATTTTAATCTTTCTTGCTGCTTTCTGATGTTTTTTCCTGATAACTGATCACTTTATTCTGTTACTTCTGTTAATTTTTCAGACTTTGGGAATCATGTGGCAAAACTCAATTGGGACATTTCTGAAACAGCAGAACAGTGGGGAACATCCTCAGAAAGGGCCAAAAAAGATATTTCTCATACTCCTAGTTGGGGAGGAAACTGGGAGAGGGGCCTTGAATTAGAAGAGCAACATGGAACCCTTCTAAGAGAGGGCCATCAAGGTCCCTTTTCACAGGCGAAGGATTTAAACAAGCTCCTGGATGGATATGTAGGAAAGAAGCCTGTGTGTGAAGAATGTGGAAAAAGCTTTAACCAGAGTTCCTATCTCGTGAGACACCTAAGGACTCATACTGGTGAGAGGCCTTATAAATGCATCGAGTGCGGGAAAGGTTTCAAACAGAGTTCAGACCTTGTCACTCATCGCAGAACACACACGGGAGAGAAACCCTACCAATGCAATGGTTGTGAGAAGAAATTCAGCGACAGCTCAACGCTCATCAAACATCAGAGAACCCATACAGGTGAGAGACCCTACGAGTGCCCAGAGTGTGGGAAGACATTTGGGCGGAAGCCACACCTCATAATGCACCAAAGAACCCACACAGGAGAGAAGCCCTACACATGCCTCGAATGTCATAAAAGCTTTAGTCGAAGCTCAAATTTCATCACTCACCAGAGGACCCACACAGGAGTGAAGCCTTACAGTTGTAATGACTGTGGGGAGAGTTTTAGCCAGAGCTCGGACTTGATTAAGCACCAACGAACCCACACAGGAGAACGGCCCTTTAAATGCCCAGAGTGCGGGAAGGGCTTTAGAGATAGTTCTCATTTTGTAGCTCATATGAGTACTCACTCAGGAGAAAGGCCTTTCAGTTGTTCTTACTGCCACAAAAGTTTCAGTCAGAGCTCACATCTGGTCACGCACCAGAGAACACACACAGGGGAGAGGCCTTTTAAGTGCGACAACTGTGGGAAAGGATTCGCCGACAGCTCTGCCCTCGTTAAGCACCAACGGATCCACACGGGAGAAAGACCCTATAAATGTGGCGAGTGTGGGAAGAGCTTCAATCAGAGCTCCCACTTCATTACCCATCAGCGAATCCACTTAGAAGACAGACCCTATCAATGTCCTGAGTGTGGCAAAACTTTCAATCAGCGTTCCCATTTTCTCACACACCAGAGAACACACACAGGAGAAAAACCTTTTCACTGTAGTAAATGTGACAAGAGCTTCCGTCAGAAGGCACATCTTTTATGCCACCAAAACACGCATTTGATTTAGGAAATAGTCTTTGGTGGTTCTGCTGCTCCCTTCCAAATTTCCATTGCTATTGTCTTCAAGTACCCCAAATAGAGAAACCTGAACCTGGGCATCAATGGCTCAAGTTGGGCCCTGATCTATTCTCTCTTTTTTTCCATGTTTTAATGACGAGGGTAAATGTATAGGGTCCAAATAATGTTCTGAACACAAAAGGCATTCCTTCAGTGTTTTTGACTGTCTCTTAGGGAAATGTGAGTTTAATGGTTGATGCCTGGTTCCTAAAAGAGAAATGAGATAAATGTGGCCGAGAGATCACATATAAGCCACCTAGTAAAGTGCCTGCACAAAGTGGGTGCTCAGTACTAAATGGGCACATTGTCACTATTAATGGTTAATATTTGAGATCTTCTATAAAGCCCTTAAGATAGTGCCTGGCCCTTAAAAGACACTCAATACAAGGTTGGTTGGTTGTATCAGCCTTATTACTCAACAAGTAATTTATTAGTGCAGCCCCCTAAGCCCAGAATTTGCAAGAAATTAGATTGGAACTAGAAGGTTTGGGGTGTGAACACATAGATTGAATGAAATGGAAAACACTCTCCCCTCCAGTGCTATGCAGACATTAGTCACCAGATGTCTCATTGCCATGACAAGGCACAATTATCATAGAGAAGGTCTTCGGTCTTGTGACTTAGATGCTGAAAGAACTTCAGAAGCTCTTTGTATAGCAGTGTATGAGGTTCTCCTGCTAGAGGTTTGCCACCATCTGAGGCATAGAAAATATCCTGTGATGAACAAGCCAGAGGGACCTGGAAGAGGACTGTAAAACTGTGAAAGCAAAATTGCTGAGAATGTTAAATGATTTTACAGGGATCCTTCTTGGCATTTAGTTGAAGGAAACTTTTTTCCTAATTTGCTGGGTCATTGGCCCTTTAGTTTTAAGTTAATGCAACTCTCTGATCCTTTTAGGGCCATTCGTTTTATGCACTAGTACATTCCTATGTTTAATTGAAATAAATTGAGGGAAGGCAGTGTGTTGGAGAGAATACTGCCTTCATTGAGAAGGCGAGGTGTCTGAGTCCTGGCCCTGACACTTAAATTGGCCAGACTTGCACTTTCTCAGCCCCAACCTTACCTACCTCACAAGGTTGTGAGGATCTAACACACACACACACACACACACACACACACACGCACTTTGTTGTTAAACTATAAAGTTACTATCCCTAAAGTTTAGTGTTACAGTATTGTTGCTAATGTCTTTTTTCCAAGGAACTCTGGCTAATATTTCTCCAGGTGTCCCATTTTCTCTCGTAACGAGGGACTTCTTTTTTCACCTGTTGAAAACCTAAGGCCTGCAAATGCTAAACGACTCATTATGGGTCACATAGTTACCAGGAGAGCCAGAATTTGGCTGCAGGTCTCCTCTTCAACAACATAGAACAGACCAGCTCTGGGATTTGTTAAGAGTGTCTCTGAGACACTACAGGACTGGAGGACCCATGTTATATTCATCACATCACCCTGAATTTGGAAATGATGGAGGGATGTAGCCTAAGTTCCTGGGAACTTTACAAGATCCTGTGCTGGGGATCCTTGATCCTCATGGAGTAAGAGTGGAGGGGTAAGGGCAGATGTAAGGGGCTAAGGAGGGAGTTGGGTGTTTAACATTCTAGAGAGAAAAGTGGTGGACTGAAGTTTTTTTCTTTCAAACCTTCCTACGTCAATACCAAATAAATTATTACATCAGCCTTGGAACACCAGTTCATTTTCTGGAATGCCATCTGAGTGCTGTGACTCTTGGGGGGTAGAACTCAGCTGATAACCTAAACTCTTTCTTTGAAAGGGTAATTAGATAATTGACCAGAACAAAAAAAATCTGGTTAATCCAGTGCAGTGGTTCTCAAAATGTGAGCTCAGACCAGTAGTATTAGCATCACCTGGGAACTTGTTAGAAATGCAAGTTGTAAGTCCCTACCTCAGACCCACTGAATCAGAAACTCTAGGGGTGGGTCCCAGCAATCTGTGTTTTAGTAAGCCCTCCAGATGATCACAATGCATGCTCAAGTTTGAGAACTACTGCTTTAAAAGGCGTCTCTTCTACTAAGCAGCCACAATACTATTTTACTCCTGAAAAATGTTGACAGTGATTTTGTAATATCATCAAATATTCCAGTCAACGTTCACATTCCCCTAATTATGTTATGTTTTTTGTTTTTGTTTTTTAGTTTGTTTGAATCAAAATCCAAATGAGGTCTCTACATTCATTTGGTTGGTATGTTCCTTATAAGTCTTGATCTAAAGTCCTCCCTCCTTTCTCTCTCTCTCTCCTTTTCTTCTATCTTATTTGTTGAAGAAAGCTCGTTGTCCTGTAGTGTCTCCCACAGGTCTGTATTTTGCTAATTCCGTCCTCTGGGGTCCTCCTCTATCCCTTGCTTTCTTAATATTGGTAGTTGGATCTGTAAACATGATCAGATTCAGATTTTTTTGGCAAGAGTACTCCGTAGTGATCTTATATACTTCTATCAGGAGGTAAAGAGTATTATTTTGTCTCTTTTCTTATGATGTGAGCAGCCATTGATAAACCCTTATTTCACTTGGGTTTGCCAAATGGTGGTATTTTATTTCTATCATTCCTTCTTCATTTATTAGCTGGAATACTTGTATAAAGAGAACTGCCCTTTGTCAATTATTTTGTTTCCCTGAGGTATAGTTTGTGTAGGAACAGCACAATAGTTGCTTAATCAGAACTCCTTAGATTTTTTAATATCACTATCTAGGTTTCGGCCTCCATGCCCTAGATTTCTAAGCCCCTTCCAGTGCGAGACTCTGTTCTGACAGGACATTTGTAAATGTATAAGTCTCATAATAACTTGTCTAATGTACTCGGTTGTTTTTCTCCTGCCTTTCTCCCCTCCAGTTTGTCTAGGTTCTCCAGAAAGTAGTGTGCTACAGAGCTCAATAAATTCTTGAGTGATTCCCTAGTCAGGGATGGACTCTCTAACTTGCTAATTAATATTTCTCAATGTTATCCAGGCCTGAAAAAAGGAGAGGAAACTACATCCCTATTAGCTGGGAATGATATTACATTCCTTTTGGTAACAGGAGAGTATACCATCTCCATTTATCTTATCTATCTATGTATTGCTCTAAGTCAAATATGTTCAGTATGTTAAACAACAACAATTATTCGTAAAAATCAGATGAGAAGGTAGGGGAAAAGCCTGGCAGGCAGAGGTGAGGGGTCATTTATGTGAAATCCAGGAGTGCCATCTCTCTGGGTATGGAAGTGTTTTGGCCAGATGTAGGAGGCAGAATGAGAAAGTCACAGAGTTCAGTATGATACCCCTCGAAAATGACATTTCGGATAGTTTTGCACTGGATTAATGTAAAATGGCCTAGCAGAGTGTCCTACAAGAGGGAGCCAGTTAGAGGACACAGAGGGACACCGAATCTACATTATTAGCACGAGCAGGCATGACCCTAAACCCAGCTAGGAATGTGATGTGTCGCTTATTGGCTGGGAGTGGCCCTAGATTTAGGAGACAGGATGTGGAAGCAGCACAGAACCAGAGTGAGAAGACCCAGCTCCTCGTTCTGGTGCAGTCATTTACTAGCCAACTGTCTTTGGACAGGTCACTAGATCACTCTAGGCTTCAGTCTAAGTCAGAAAAAGATCCCTCTGTCTCTAACACTTTACAAATTTGGGGCTCTCTTAGACCCCAGGACTGTTCGATGTTGTGAGCAGGCTCTTCCACAGGTGCACCTTCATGCCCTGAGAGGATAAAAGCAGGTCGTTTATTTATAGCCTGGCTTCCTCTCCATCTCCCACTCCTCAGCCTTCTCCGGGTTCTTGGAGGAGAAGCGAAACCTCACAGCTACCGGTAGAGTTAGCACATTATCTCCAAACTAAAGACCTCCCCAGGTTCCAGCCCCTCCTATTCTGACTTCCTAACAGTATTTAACAGACACAGGTCACTGTTTGTAACATAATTTGAGTCTTTTTCTATCACCTTGTTTTTCATGATGTATATCCACAGATGTGTCTATCCTATAAGGTGTGACCTCTTGAAGGACAATGTGTGACTTGCTTTATGGCTTTGCCACTTCTCCCTGCCACCCCTCCCAGCCATGAGTAGAAAATACTTAAATGGTATTGGTGAAAGTGGAGGTAACTGACTTTCCACATTTTCCCTTTGCTTCTACCCTATGACTGGGCTGTTAGCTTCTTGCACATGCTGCACGCCTCCTCTCTCCCTCGCTTTGAAATCCACGTCATCACCAAACCCTATCAATTTTACCTCTCAGATTCCTCTCAAACCGATCTATCAATCTCTCCATCTCCACTGCTGCTCTCTAGTCCCAAATGACCACCAACTCTTTTGAATTCCTGCAGCAGCCTCCTGACAGCCCAGATTTTATATTTGCTCAAATTTCTCCTCACAGAAGCCAGAGTGAGCTTTTAAAACCCCAATTCTGGTCCATCACCTATATGCTTAAAACTAGCAGCTTCCCATTTTTAGGAATAAAAACCCAAATCTTTAATCAGGCCTACAAGGCCTCCCTCGGTTTGACACTCACCCCCCCACCAGCCTCTTCTGATGTCACCTTCCCTCTCACTCACTGAGCTTCAGCCCACTGTGTTCTCTCTGCTCCTTGGTCACACTGTGTCAGGCACAACTTAGAGTCTTGGTACTAACTGTACCCTCTGTCCAGTATGTTCCTCACCCAGATCTTTGCTTAGGCTCCTATTTGTCAACCAGGTTTCAGCCTAAAACCCACCTCCTTACAGAGACTTTCTCCAACTATCCCATCTAAATTAGTCCTCCTCCCCCACCAGTCACTCTCTATCACCTTATCCTCTTTTATTTTCATCAAAGTCCTTACAGCTGTCTGCTATTTTCTTGTTTATTTATTTGTTTTGGTAAACTCCATGGTAGGAAGGAGCCATTTCTCTTGTTTACCATTCTTTCCCTGGCACCTAAAACAGAGCCGGGCATGTTGGATGAGTTAATGAATGCATGCTCACAGACAAGGAACTCATGCTGGAAAAGAAGCAGTATGAGAGGAAGCTGTAGGGGTGAGTGAGGGTCACACCAAGAAGGCTCTGAGTTGCCAAACTGGAGAATGGGGCGTCATCAGTGGTTTTCCAGTGGAGGAGAGGTATGATCAGCACTTGAGGAAGTTTGATTTGGCAGCTTTCCGTAAGACACATTACAGAGAGAAAAATTGAAGGCATTGAGACAATTTATGATAAAAGGGCTTAGCACAGTGCCTGGCCCATAGTAAGTCTCCAATAAATGATTGTTATCCAAGCACCATAGCAGGCACTGTGAGATACCAGAACAAAAAGGCAAGATCGTTAAACCTTCTTTCTACCTCAAAATAATTCTTCCTAGACCCTATTGTCACATTCCTTCCCTTCCCCTTTTTGTCAAATTTCCGTTAATGTGTAGTTATTCTCAGAGCTATCATGTATAGGCTATTTTAATAGGGCTTCCCACCCCCAGCATGCCTCAAAGGTCTCTTAATTTCCACATCTGAAGGCCTCTTGTTTGTCTTCTTCCCATTCAACAGCTGTTTACTTTTTGATACCACTTACATATGCTTCTTGAAATTCTCTTTTCCCTTGGTGGATGTGAGATGGTTCTCCTACATTTCTGGCTACTCCTTTTCAAGTACCTTCCCTGGCTCCTCTTCTTCCCCTTAGATGTGCCTCACCCCCTCAACATTCTGACCCTTGATCCTCTTCCTTTCTTCCTTCTTTCCTGTTCTGCACACCAATCTTATGACTTCAACCATCATCTCTCAGAACATGGGTCTAGCTCAACCTCTCTCCTGAATTTCATACCTACAAGTCCAGCTGCTTGGTGGACCCTCCCCAAAGATGACCTGCTGCTCCTCAAACCCAGAATCTCCAAATTATAGTCAGCATCTCCTCCCAAATCATCCCTCCTGACGTTTCTCTTTCTGCAATGACTCTGTTCTCCTATGTATCCTTACCAGAACCTCCTGGTCAGCTTAGATTTCTCTTTCTCCCTTGTTTCCTATATTTTGCTAGTGCCAAGTCACGTAGCCTCTGCCTCTACATTGTCTCTTTCTCTTTTTAAATTGTAAAAGCATCATGTACTTTCTGTAAAATTTTCAAAAAAATGCAGAAGTACCCAAACTACAAAAATGGAAATACCTCG